CCGGTGTTGAAGAACACGGCGGCCATGAGGTGGTGGAACCAGAATCCACGTCTCATTCGTCATGAGGGACGCACATTCCGACTCACAGCAATACGCCATTATCTAGCGTAGCAAGACTTCATGGCTGCTTTGTACTACTTAGGCTAAGGTAGATACCGAATAGCAAGCAGGCTAAATGTTTGAGTTGTACGTTCTTTATGTTCCTGAATATCTTCCGCTGATGTAAGCTCTGTAAGCTTATCTGCTTCCTCGTATCGAGGGCGTTTGGCAGGGAAATTTGGAGGTGTTAGAGGCGTCTCCGTTACAAAAGAATAGAAGATTTCGCCACTGTCAGTGGCATCATTCAGCGGAGTCGGCGTCGGTGCAGGAGTTATAAGGGGTGGGACGTTAGGTCCGACCTTCGGGGGACTGCTTGGTCCGACCCTTGAAGATTGGCTGGTTCGAGTATTGGACGTGAGACTATCGCTGGACGGGGCAGTGAGCAGGTAGCGGCAATGGATCGGGTGTGTCGTCGATATTCTCAACGGTCGGAAAGTTGTCTTCCTGAGAGACGACGTCACGGCTGTAAACTATGGCTCGTGTCGAAACATCCATGAGACGATACCCTTCTTGTAGCTTGGAATACCGAGGTATAGACAGAGTTTTGCTCGTGTATCTAGCTTATCCCTGTAAATGTCATTGATGTGGACGTACGCCGCGCAACCAAAGACCTTCAGGTACTGAACGCTTGGTTTACGATTGTACCACAGCTCGTACGGACTGCATGTGTACGTGTTTTCACTGGGTGTCATGTTAAGAAGTGTAGTCACGTGACAAACACATTCAGCCCATAATGTCTTGGGTAGCTTTGCATCAAGTAAGATGGCACGGACGCGTTCCATGATCGTGCGCATACGTCGCTCGGCGACACCATTCTGTTGTGGTGTGTAAGCATTTGTAAATTGCGCGTGTGTTCCGTACCGCTTAAAGATTATGCGACCCAGCTTCTCATACTCCTTTGCATTATCAGCTTGCAGCACTTGCACATCCAAGTCCGAGGTGGATCCTGGATACTCTAGCGTATGTACATCTGAGCGAAAGATATTCAGGGCTTTCATCCTAAAGTCTTCGTAGCAAAAGTAGAGTTGGCTGCGAGCCTTGATAGGGTACGCAAACATGTAGCGCGTAAAGTCATCAATAAAGACAACAAAGTAGCGACAGCCACTGAGGCTCGGAACGGGAAGTGGCCCACAGATATCAGAGTGGACTTTTTGCAAAGGTTGTGAAGCACGTTCAACACGTTTATTAGAAGGTAATGCAGCGCGGTGTGACTTCGCGTAAGTACATGCAGAGCAAAAGAAACTGTCTTTGGGAACTACGGTGTTAGCGTCGAGTCCTTGGAGTGCTTGGTCTTTAGTGACTGCCTGTAAGACACGAATGTTAGGATGACCAAGTCTTTTGTGCAAGAGCATAATAGCAGTGGGTTTACCTGAGGTGGCCACATGAGCTTCTTGCTTCTGGACCGGTGTGCCCGTGAACTGGTATGGCTTTGCTGTAGCCGACTACTTTGCCTTGACATTGAAACGTTGGTCAGTTTGCACCGTGCACACAGTTTGCTGGAACGTAAAGCGGAAGTCATGTTCTACGGCTGCAGCAACTGATAGAAGGCTGTAGTGCAGTTGGGGTGCATAAAGCACATCACGCAGTCTTAGCTGGCGTTGACCTCCCTTGGAATCAGCTATCTGAAGCACAACGTCATCGGTGCCTTCAATGGGGATCTCGGACTTACCACCAACCGTGATGGCTCCAGTAGCAGCGGTCTTGGAAACGAACCACTCGGCATGTTGAGTGACGTGGCTGGTGCACCCGGAGTCAACAGCCTAATATGAGTCGAAAGTGGAGGAGGCTTGAGCCGTAAGGCAGATGGCCGGCGGCATGAACTTGACTACAGTGGCAACAGCGATGCGAGCATCTTCACGACTAGACTGGTCGTATCCACCTTCTTTACTTCGAGAAGGCTGGCGTCCATTGCTGTTATTGTCGCGGTTGTTTGCCGCCACGTCCGCCGTTTTTCGGATCCCGCCCGCGTTTCTGCCAAGACCCGCGGCCACGCCCCGACTTGCTGTCACGTCGTTCGTTGAGGTGGGACCGGTTGGGGTTACCGCCGCGGAACTCGAAGTTCGCAGGCAGGACGGTCCCGACCTTGACAGTGCCAACTCGCAGGTTTTTCTGTAGGCTACGGCATTGGCGAATGTCGGGGCGAGGCTTCTGGCAGTAGCTGCACACCTGCTCAGACGACACGGGATATGCCGAAGCTTGGGCTGGAGCAAAGCGAGCTCGCTTGCTCTTAGTATCGGGGGTACACTTCGCCAGAGTATAGCGCGTCTCGGCCTCCATTTTGCGGATCTTGTCCGCGATGCTCGTCTTGAGCTCGTTATACGGGATGTACTTACGGTTACCTTTCCAAATACGAAGGTCGTCCCTCCAGGACGCTGGTGTAGAGTGGAAAAGGTAGACAGACTTCTGGACGTCTGTGAGGACCGATTCGGTCGCCTTGGACGCGGCTCTCATCGCGTCTTCTAGAACGAGGGAGAACTCGTTCACATCACGTAGAGTAGAAGGACTTCTCGAAGTGTTCGTGAAAGAAAGAATGAACATTAATGAGCAATTAAAAGAAAACTAAGCTAGAAACTCTAAACTGCTGCCTAAACATAGTACAGGTTGGCCATTGCCAACCGTTTCAGAAAGGCAAGTTGCTCTTATTATAATGCATATTATGCTTTATATGAGTCGTGAGTTAGAGACGAGTCTAACTCCAACAGTTTGTAAGCTGTGATTGCCGAAGCCACGAAGTGGTAATATGGGTTACATATTGGGCTCACTTCATAAATCCACACCTGCTTCGAAGTGCGAACGTGAGAGAGAGAAAAAAGAAGTTATGCGTGTCGTTCTCGCCGTCGTGGCCACTTTTGCGAACGCATTGATTATAGAATGTGAGGCCAAGGCGCCCATGGATATCTTCCCAAAGAAGCTCTATCAGCGCTACCTAAGAAGTCCTGACACACACAAGTTTTGGGCACAAAGGATAGCGCCGCGGATGAAGAGCGCATTGATCTCAAGAAGCTCTTAAATGCAGAAGACATCGCTGATGCTCTGAATGATTGCGCCAAACGAAAGGATTTGTTTGTAACGTGGATGAAGGATAAAAAAACGGAGATGGCTGTCGTTGCCAAGCTAATCGGATAATTATCGCAACTGACCGTATATACATCAAACTATTTCAAACTGACCGTAAAGCTTACACATGTCTATAAATGCTGTTTGATTGGTTACACTTGTTGAAGTTCACTAGTAAAAAAAGATCCTGGGTCAGCAGCAAGGACGACTCCACAGGTACCACTTCAATACATAGTCGCTCACTCTACAACTATCGTGGTACCAGGCAAGGT